ACATTTCCCACCCCCCCGGTGCTCCCCGCCGTGCCTGGGGCAGGCTGGTTCCTCCAGGATCATTATCCCGGTCCCCAGCTCGGAGGGGCCGGGTCCCCTCCCTGCCCCAGCTGTCCGTTCTCCGCAGGGCACCAGCGTGCTGTCGCCCTTCCTGCACATCGGCTCGGTGATCGCCCTGGCTGCCATGATCTACAAGAAATCTGCCGTGCAGCTCTTCGAGAGGCACCCCTGCCTTTACATCCTCACCTTCGGCTTCGTCTCGGCCAAAATCACCAACAAGCTGGTGGTGAGTGCTCCGGACCCTCCCGACTGGGACACCTCGGGCACGGCTGGGACCTTCCTGGGGCTCCCAGCGAGCAATCTGTGCCCTGCTGAGCACCGAGGGGGCGATCCGGGGGGCTGGAGCTGCAGCGGGGCCTTCCTGGGTTGGGAGGGGCATCTGAGGGTTCCCAGCTCTTTATTCACACCCTTGCACAGGGTTTTGTGCCGGTGTGTGAAGAGCTGGGCTGGGGAAACCCCCTCGAGGGGAGGGAGGGGCAGAGGAGGTGCCACAGCTCTGGGACAGCTGCTGAGGGTCGAACTCTGAGATCTGCAGGGAAAGTGGGGTTAAAATGACTCAGTTGGAGTTAAAAGGACTCACAAACAGCCCCTGCCTCACACCTTCCCAGTTCTGGGTCAGTTTGGACAGAATTCCTGGGGGAAGGAGAGTTTATCCCTTCCCAGGCTCAGTTCCCAGCCAGGCTGTGCAGGGAGGATGGAGGGTGGAAGTTCATCCGTGCAGGGAGGGAAGGGTGGAAAGGACCACACTTGGGCACCAAAATACCATCAAAATAAAATAAAAAAATAAATATATAAAGCACCAGAAGGGGATGGTGACCTCATGGAATGGGGAAAAAGAGGTGGAGAGAGAGAAACAAACACCAAGAGTCTCTCAATTTGAAGCTTCAGCAGCTTTAAGTTTTGTTTCCAGGCTCAGCTAAACTTTCAAAATTTGACTTTCCACTTAAAAACGTTCCACTTCACCTTGTGCTCCCCTTTCCCTGCTCTGTCCCTGGCAGGAGGCTGGAAACACTTTGGGAATTTTTCCTGGGCTGCACCCTCTGCTCTGCATAAAAACTGTTTGTTCAATCCATATTGAAATGTTGGATATTCTGCAGTGGCTCCAATCGGGATTGCTCTTTTGCCTCTGTGTGTTCTGCCTTGGCTGCCACAGCCTTGTTGCTTAAAATGCTCTTTTTCCTCATTTAAAATGTCCTTTAAAAAGCTCTTTTCTGCCGTGCAGGTTGCACACATGACCAAGAGTGAGATGCACTTCTATGACACAGCTTTCATTGGCCCAGCCCTGCTCTTCCTGGACCAGTATTTCAACAGCTTCATTGACGAGTACATCGTGCTCTGGATTGCCCTGGTGAGTGGGGGCTAATTCCTTCTGTCACTAATTACTGGGGCTGCTCGTGCCCAGCTCACCTGCACGGTGCTGGGACAGGGGGTGACTTTTCCTAATTTTATTTTTATTTTATTTTTATTTTTTCCTTTTTTTTTTTTAAATTTTTCATTTTATCTTATTTTTTGAATTTTATTCTTTATTCTCCATTTTATCCTTCATTTTATTCTCCATTTTATCCTTCATTTTATTCTCCATTTTATCCTCGATTTTACTCTTTATTTTCTTCTTCATTTATTTTAATTTTTCTTTGGTTATTTTTAGTTGGTTCCTTTTTTTAATACAATTTATTGGGGGGAATTCCCCCTTCCCCCGGGAAAATATTCTCATGAAAAGTGAGAAATCTGGATTCCTTGAAGTATCTCGGGATGATGATAATGACAATAAACTATTATTAAATTAAATTATTAGATTATATTAAACGATATTATTATATTATCTAGTACTATAATAATTATTAAATATTAATTATTGTAGTAGTATTACTAATAGCTAGAAGGATGTTGTTATGTTAATAATATTTACCATTACTAATTATATATTTAAATTGATATATTTATTTAATATTTAATAATAATAATAACAGTGGAGGTAATGGGGCATTCCCAGGATTTCTGGAACTGCTGTGACTCTTTTCCCTTCTCTGACTGTAGACCTGACAGTCAGGGGCTGGAATTGTGTTGTCCCAGGGCTGGAGTAACGCCCAGAATCCCTGGAATCGCTTCATGGAGCGACTGCCCATCCCTGGGAGTGTCCAGGGCCGGGCTGGATAACCCAGGAGCCGCCTGGGCTGGTGGGAGATCCTGCCCGGGCAGGGCTGGGATGAGCTCTCAGGTGTTTCCCACCTGGATGAGCTCTGAGCTCCCTCCAGCCCCGTCTGCCATTCCACGAGTGTTCCCGCAGAGCGGAACATCCCACTGATGAAAAGCAGCCCCGTGGTGTATTCTGGATCCCGCGGGAATGCCGGGGCAGCGTGTCCCGTTCCCGGCTCCAGGGTCTCCAGGGTCTCCAGGGAATGCCGAGGGGCGGGCTGTGACGCTGCTGTCCCGGCAGGTGCTGTCCCTGCTGGATTTGCTCCGGTACTGCGTCAGCGTCTGCTCCCAGATCGCCGCCCACCTCCGCATCCACGTGTTCCGCATCCAGGGCTGCGCCTCCCACTCCAACCACCACTAGGAGACCGGGAATCTCCGGGAAAACCAGGAAAGGGTTGCTTTGCTACACGACCAGGTGGCGCAGGAGACTCGAGGCACAGCGACGAGAACCAAGTAATTTATACTCATAATCAATGTTGTCTAACTCTGACTCTGCGGTTTCAGTAACACTCCCTGGATGGTCTCCTGCCTTGGGAGAGGGAATTCCACGTAGTCAGCTCTCCGTGTAGTCAGCTCTGTCGGTTCCAAGCCTGGGCAAAGCATGCAGGGTTGATGATGCTCTGTCGTTGTAACCCCCCCGATTCCAAATTAACCCCCCAGTTTCTAACGTAGTGTCTGTGCAGCCACGAGCTCGCTTTGGGTTTTAATCTCTCATCACCTCCTCGTGAAATACTCCTTTAGTGTCCACTCAAAATTCATTTGACTACAGACTCGAGCTGGTTCAGACCCCCAGAACACCCCCAGATATCTCACTGGCTGAAGCTGCTGCCAGGTCGGAGCCCAGGCTGGGCTGGGTTTGGGTTTTTTGGTTTTTTTTTTTTT